GAACTAGATGGACCTTGGTCTGCTATTGCCAAGCAAATTCTTTTGTTTTTATTTTTGCATGGTCCAACAATTCTCATTCAAGAATTGAGTGACAAATTTATTTGGAGGATTATTGGCTAGGCGGGACACCAGGCCACTACCACCTCTAAAACACAGCACCTCCGACATTGCAATGCTTCTCAATACTGCTATTTTCAGCTGTGGCAAACGGTGAGAGGTACAAGCTTCCAGCAGGACAGCTCAACCACATGGAAAAGAATATTTTAAAACATTTAAGAAGAATGAAAACATATCAGGGGATTGCAGAATGTTCTTTACTGCAGGCTCAGTAATACAACATCAACTTCTAGTGGGGGAGGAGAGAGGTTTCTGGAACAACCGGCCAATTTACCATTTGTGACAGGCGTAGAAATGTGTTTAGTCCTGATACAATAGTAATAAGCCTCGGACTGGTATCTCATTCTGATTGATCTCCATAGCCCACTTTATCATGATTTATGTGACGTCTCCTCCTTTTCACCGTTCTCCCACTTTTTCATAAAAAAATGTTGATAATTTCTTTTCCGAGACAGTTTTCGTTTACTAAGTGACTTTGTTTTGTTATATATTGTGTCTAAAAATAGAATTAGCTGACAGCCTCCGGGGGCACATGTTTCTAAGGATGTTCTTTCTCCCAGTCTTTGAGTAGGTGCACAAAGTATGTGTGCGAGAGCCATTCGTAGCGTTGAGAAGCCTTTTGGCAAGTGAAAAAATTCATTTGCAAATCTGCGTAAGAGGGATGTCTTTTGAAGGGTTAAGAGCAAAGGTATAAATTTCATCAACTTTTCAAACTCGCTGAGATGTTTTGAAAGTAACGAATGGGGAGAAAGGACCATCAAGGTCACACCTGCTACAGCGTTGGAAAACATACTTACCGAATGACACTGTATCACACGCAGAAGGGTATTGAATTGTTCTGTGGAGAGGCTGTTGGAGGTGATATGGTCCCAACTTCAGGGCAATTTCTTGTCACGGCGCATCAGGGAGGAGTTTTTAGCATTTTATCAAATATTCTGGGTTTGCTCCAGTGCAGCATCTCATTAATAATAATAATAATCCTTGCATTTGATATAGCGCTTTTCACGTCTTCAAGACGTCTCAAAGCGCTTCACAGAATATACTGTAAAGTGAATTGACTGTGTATTTGTGGGTGAAACGCGGCAGCCAATTGCGCACAGCAGCGTCCCACAAACAGTCATGGATTGAGTGACCAAATTGTTATTGTTTTTTTTTCTTGAGGGATTATTATTAGTCGTGTAGAGTAAGGAAACTTGCCCAAGGTCTCACCCTGCTGGAATCAAACCCAGGTCTCACTTGCAAAGCTAGTGCTCTAACCACTGAGCTACAGGACTCCACAGTCCTGGTTACATCCAACTCATTTGGGACTGGTTTGTCTAATCACTGGATATAAAGCATCTAAATAAAATAAAATAATTGAAGAAAAATACATGTAATTACAGCATATTTTCACGTAAAAGGTGGTAGAAATCTGGAATTTCCACCCCCAAAAGGCTGTGGATGCTGGATCCATCCTCACCTGAGGTTGATAGATTTGTGGTTGGTCAGAATATCAAGGGATGTGGGGAAAAATCTCATTCTGTCTCTGATACAATATTACTGTATCTGCAGTTCTGTGTTACTGCTAGTAATAATATAATAGAAATAATCCTTGCATTTGATATAGTGCCTTATCACGTTGTTGAGACATCTCAAAGCGCTTCACAGAATATATTATAAAGTGGATTGACTGTGCATTTTGTGGGCGAAATTCGGCAGCCATTTATGCACAGCCATGTCCTACAAATAGTAATGGAGTGGATGACCAAATGTTTTTTGTGTGATTATTACCACCAGGGAACAATCCGCCAATCGACTAACAACCGGGTTCCTACTTGCTGCTATGTAAACAGAGGTGTGTGGAGTAAGGAAACTTACCTAAGGTTTTGTCCCACCAGGGAATTGAATCCGGATCCTCTCGCTTGCTAACCTATGCTTACTCTGTCTTTGGTGCATGGTTTTAGCTGCTTACAGTCTAGCGGTACCTCAAAGCACATACACTGGAGCCCCCCACCCCCAAGGCTTGGTTCTTGTAAACCTAATGCTTTCTGGAATTAGATGAGCGAAATGCTTGACTCCAGGGGAAGACTGTACATTCCATTCCAGACACAGGAAAATTTCAGTACATGGGTGCAACACTTGGTGATGGGATTCATGAGACACCGTCTGACCAATAAAAACTCAGCTTCAACCCGACTTCAGAAAAGCAGTTTCCTCCACAGCAGACAAGCTTGTTGGTGCTATGTGACAAGCAGGCCTTCCTGTTGCTGTGTTGTCAATTAAAACAGCCATGGGGCTGTCTTTTGAGGGTGTGCCTCAGGCATAAAGCACACTCTTCACTCAGAACACTGTCAGCCAGTTCTTCCCATTAATCTCACTAACAGAGCAGGGGACCAGAGTCAAGAAGACCACATCTGTCAACACGCAACTGGGAAGAGCTCCAGGGACCACACATGCAGCACATTAGAACGTGGGAGGACCTGTTTTATTTGTTGGCCACGAGTAGGCGATGGTGAAATGTCATTTCTTACAAGGACTTAATTTGCAGTCGATCGCGCTCTATGCATTTAATCTCATTTGCAATGATGTGGAGTGACTGTTGTGAGTGCTTAATCTGAGGTGTTGCTCCGCAATTTTACATTTGGGAGTCTGGGATGTGGGGCTGTGTGAGATTCACGACTTGAGAATTTTGAACTGGTTCACTGGTGTTTCTTTGTTCCTCTTTGTTAACTTTTCTGGACTTGAATTAACTCTATATAAATTGCCATGTTCAATAAGTTGGATGGCACTGCCCAGTAAACATATCAGCCTGGTTTCCTGGTCCTGTTCCCAATCCAGTGATTTCTCAATGCTGGGATGTCCTTGTGTGTAATAATAATAATAATCCTTGCATTTTGATATAGCATTTTGTCATGTCATAGAGACATCTCAAATCACGTCACAGAAGATACTATAAAGCGAATTGACTATATTTGGTGGGTGAAATGCAGCAGCCAATTTCACACAGCAGTGTCCGACAAGCAGTCATGGGTTGAGTGACCACATTATTATATTTTTAAAGGGATTATTACTCCCGGAAAGCAATCTGCCGATTGACTAACAACCAAATTCCAACTTACTGCTAGGTAAACAAGTGTGTGGGGTAAGGAAACCTGCCCAAGGTTTCACCCTGCCTGGGAATCGAACACGGGACCACTTGCTTGCAAGTGCTCTAACCATTATGCTACAGGACTCCACAGATGTCAGACAAGGACAATCAAGCTCAACTGTGTTTCTCTTCCCCCAACCTCCGTGTCTGGTAACTACACAGTTACACAGTCTCCCCTCTCTGATGATGTCCATGAGCCTCACGCAGCTTTTCCCTTCACCTTGACCTTCATTCGTACGCTTCTGATTTCACATATTTACCGGAGTGCAGACGAGCTCTCCCTGATTATTTAGTCAAGTGTTCAAAACGTGAGCTGCTCTGAGAGCCAAGAGTTGAAATCACCTGTGAAATCAGCCGTTAAATACGGAAGGTGTGAATGAGTTAGATCTCTCATTTGGCGGTGACATTGTCACATCCAAGAAAAGGCATTTTCATTAACTCGGCACGATTCCTTCTTCTCTCCTTGGGACTTGGTCAGTCCTCACTGTTGTTGTGATGTCAGTCATCTGTTGCTCATTGTCTTTCTGCACAGCTGCAAAACAAGCAACATCTGGCTTCTTTACACCAGAAGGGCACTGTTGTAGTTTTGCTGCCAATTTTTGTTCTTTCAAGTAGTGAATGAGTTAGTAATTGTTACAATTGACGGTGACAAGTCTAACAAAGCTACAATTATTTCATCACCGTGCTAAGCTAAGGCAAAGAACTGCTTATTAACTTGGTATGCGGCATTTGGGCTAATTGTTCATGTTCTTGGCTGAGATTTGGGCTTCACTGATTGAAACTATTATATTCTATAGAAGATTTCCTGTACATATGGAGGTCATTCTGCTTAGCCCATAATCTCTAGTCTGTTACCTCGCCCACCGGAGATATCTACGCTTGCCCCATCCCCCTATGATTTAAGATGACTGTTTCCTCACGTATTTAGCTATACAAATGTAAATAATAATAATAATCCTTGCATTTGATATAGTAATTTGTTGTTGTTATCTGAACCCCCTTTAGATGCTGTTACAGGCAGCTTCAACAGCCATTTGTGGTGATAGACCACATTCTAATAGCATCCTGTAAAAAAACAATTATTTAAAAACACTGCTCTGACCTTTTGCCATTGTCTCCAATCGATGGAAATGGTCTGCCTCTACCCTGTTACAATCATTAACAAACCCCCCACCCGAAGCTAATTTGTCTCTAGTGTGCGTGTGTGTGTGTGTGTGTGTGATGGAGGAGAGTGGCTATGTTATCTGTTACTTGCCATACTTGTTACTATATTGTGGGATATAGTACATAGGTAGTTTGGGACATATGTGCACGCGACCACCAGGAAGGGAGAAGGCGAACTAGATGAATCTTGGTCTTTTTTCGTCTAGCATTTCTTATGTTCTTATGTGCTTGCAACCCCTTCTCTACCACTCCACGCTATTACATTGCTAAGAAGCTGTATAGACAATTAAGTGGAGAGTAAGAGTGGCCTTTGTGAGAAGAGAGTAACCTCAACTTAGCTCATCATCCATCATGTGGTGACAAAGATTGGGATCTGATGTACTTTTAAGGATAATATTGAGGAATTTCAAGCCTCAGTTTAATGCACATCTACCACCTAGAGTGCTTGACTGGCCATATCCTGATATCTTTGGAAGTTCTGTTGGCCAAGCTCCCTGGACCTCGGTATCAGGAAGTGTAATGTTTTCTCTGGGGGAAACTGCAAATTCAGATGAATGAGACAGAAAGAGAACTCGACAGAAGAAACGGTTCATTCTTTCACCAGTGCAGTTTTTATCCAATGCTCGGGGTCACTTGTCAGAGGAGACATTCATTGGAAACAAACAACTTCTGTAAAATCCATGATTAAAACCTGATACAAACAGGTGTAATACCAGAAACATCATTGCAAATATAGAAATTTATCTGTACAGAATTGCGGAGATTTTACTGGTAAATCGTACTATACAATGCAAGGATGTGAGCAGCATGTGTGAGGTACAGTTACACAGCACAGTCCAGTCACGTTGGGTGTACAGCGAGTAATGTCTCTATGTACACTACAGTGAGTCACAGTCACAGCACAGGGTCATGCGATAAATAATATCCAACATTCCAAGGCTTCCGGGCTTATATATACGTATATATAAGAAATCTTATACTGATTGTTAAAGTCAGTGTCACAATTGTAGTGCATCAGCGCAAGAACAGTTGAGTTGGTCAGATTAAAAACTGTTGTGTTTACATGAATTTCCTTTTGGTCCCATTGAGTCTCTCAGTTGCTGAGGAATCAGGATTTGTGCTGGGCGGACACCCCCTTCCAGTAGTCCAGGATATCGTGCAAATCCTCATCTGTTGCAAACTGGACTTTCTTCCTCAGGGCGTACCCTGCTGCCAAGTACTCCTCCCTTCTGTGACATTTCTCGTGGGGCTTGTACCGTTCCCAGACTCCCTTGGATGATCTGCTGGAGTATTCGGGACTGGAGGAGTAGCTGATGTTGTGGTACTGTGGGGAGAACTGCGAGTAGGCCAGGTTCCGCCGGGATCTAGATAAGGGCTCCATAACACATGGACTCTGGCTCCTCGACTCCCTTTGCTCCCGTGATGCATTCCCGCGTAGAGGTGACAATGCTCACCATACTGTCGCATTGCATCTGATCTCAGGTGAGGACCTGAGCTGGCAGAGCGGACTGCGCTGCGTGTAGGAGACATCCTCTCAATGTATTTTGTCTCGGACGTGTAAAAGGGACCAGCAGAAGTCTCTGAACGGAATAACCTGGGGCTTCGCATGGAACAGTTGGAAGACATGCTGGAGCTTTTGGGTATCACATCCATACTGCTGTGCCTCTGGAGATGATGGTAACCATCCTGGTAGACAGGGGACAGAAAATTAGATCTTCCCTGGGGATTTTCAGTGATCATTAATAACTGGGGGTCAACAGAAGCCCCAGCCCCTGACTTCCCCCCTTGGAAAGAGCCAGACTCCGACTTTAAGGCGTCTATACAGTTATTGATAATCTGATTGACTTTATCCACTTCCTTAGCTATCGTCGAGATTTCAGCCGTAGAACTTTGGTTTTCCCCAAACATGCTCTCCACAACATCTCTGTGATGGGAGTGTTCGCCTGTCCTGACGTCCATGTAACTTCCCCTGATGGCTTTGGGACTGTCTGGTATTTCCTGGATATCGTAATCGTCCATGGCCTCGGAGGCAGGTAGGAAGGGCACCCTGGGTGACATGGGGTCACCGGGTGGCACGGGTTTCTGTGAGAGCTGGGTGATAGTGATGGTCTCCAGCTCGGGGCCATATTTCAGCTCAATGATGGTCTTCTTGACGCTTCCTGATTTCTTGTGCTTCCCTCCCAGCAGTCTTCGCCTTCGCACGCAATAGTAGATCACTCCCAGGACAATGACCAGCCCGAAGAGGCAGCCTAGGACTGACATGATGTAGTGCGTGGCTTTGGAAGATGTGGTTGTCTGTGCTTTCGCTTGATTCCTCGTGGGGAAGGTGAGACAGGTATGATTGTACCTGAGCGAATTCTGAATGGAAGTCACACAATAGGTGTACTTAGTCTGAGGCTTCAGACCCTTTATCTCAATCTCCTCTGTTTCTGTGCTCAGGTTCTTGATGTCGGTGAAGAAACTTTTGTTAAACTGCACTAAGATGTACATTTTATTAAAAACAGATGGGACATGGACCCTGAGAGTGGCTGTGGTTAGGTTTACTTCTTTCAATTTGATGACTGGTGTATCGTTTGTCTCACTGAATGGGGTCTGGAAAGTTACTATGAGAGTTGAGCCATCACCCGAGGGGCAGTCTTCAATGCCACAGGGGCCTTCTGGCACAACTGGTTGGCTGGTCGGAGGTTGGTTAAAGATCAGTTTTGTGTCAATGGAATACACTTCTTCATCACATGTGGAGGCGAGGATGGTCAGAGCACTCTTGGAACTCAATCCTCTTTGATTCAACAGGACATCACCTTCTACATCAGCAGGAGATGCGCACTGTGTTCGATCTGTACTCCTGGCTGTGCTGGTAAACTGTGCAAACCAATTCAGAAAACCCAGCAACTCGCACGAGCAGTGAAATGGGTTGCCATAGATCTCAAAGACATAGAGTTTGCTCAGCCCAGTGAAAGTGGAACTCTCAAGCATCTGCAAGCGGTTCATGGACAAGTCAATGTTTATTATGCTCAAACATTCCCAAAAGGTGTTTGGACTAACGATTTCAATCAAATTTGCCTGCAGGTAGAGATATTCCAGTCTGCCCAGCCCCCTGAGCATTCCCTCAGTGAGGTTCCGAAGCCTGTTGAATCCGAGTTGTAAGATACGCAGGTTAAACTGGGCTGAAAAGGCTCCATCCTCAATGTAGGAAATATCATTTTTCGTCAGGTTCAGATCAGTCAAGTTGCCAAATCTATTCAGGGAGGAAAACTGAATACTTTTGATCTTGTTCTCATTCAGTCTAAGGTCCACCACTGTGCTGTTGATGTGCTGTGGGATGGCTTCATATGGGGGTTGATTTTGGCTACAGATTGCCAGCCAGACAAATCCTTTCTCTCCTTCTATAAGCCAACAGTCTGCACGAACTAGCACAGCATTCATCAGTACAACCAGAGAGACCCAGAGACAGAGACTGAACAGAGCCATCCCCCTGAGGTCTAGGAGTCCTGGTAAAGAGCTTTGGATAGCACCCAGAGATAAAATTGCTATTGGTTAGGAACTTTAAGTTAAAACTCAGCTTGAACCTCTAGCTAATAAACTGAAGTGCATTTTTTTCCTTATCGGGGAAATTCATTATCTTTCTCTTCTCCATACACGTTTTTCTTTGAATATTTGTGGGTCCTGTACTCCAGTCCCAGACATCCCTTCACATCTGTTCATCTTTGTTGTCCTGGAAAAAAAGAAATTTAGGATTATCTGAGATCATTCTTATCCACAGTTAAGATCCATTTATGCTTTTGCTCAGTTGTTGAGATCTCCCCAATTGCAAATAACAGTACCATCTTACTTCTGAAACTGTTAGTGTATATTGTTGATGGGCTTATGTGTCTATTGTCGAACTCTTGTGAGTTTACTTAAGAGTTATTACAATCTGGAATGCACTGCCTGAAAGGGTGGGTAGAAACAGATTCAATAATAGCTTTCAAAAGGGAATAATAATAATAATAATCCTTGCATTTGATATAGCGCTTTTCACGTCAGGAGGACGTCCCAAAGCGCTTCACAGAATATACTGTAAAGTGAATTGACTGTATATTTGTAGGCGAACGGCAGCCAATTGCGCACAGCAATGTCCCACAAACAGTCGTAGATTGAAAATGACCAATTTATTATTGTTTTTTGGAGGGATTATTATTAGGCTCTGTGTGGAGTAAGGAAACTTGCTCAAGGTTTTGCCCTGACCTGGAATTGAACCCAGGTGTCTCGCTTGCAAAGCGAGTGCTCTAACCACTGAGCTACAGGAATTGGATAGGTACTTAAAAAGGAAAAATCTGCAGTCCTATGGGGTAAGAACGGAGGAATGGGACGAGGTTGGCAGCTCTTTCTAAAAGCCGGCACAGGCACGATGGGTCGAATGATCTCCTACTGTGCTGGAAGATTCTATGATTCCATGATTATAAAAATAGTTGCATTTGATATATGTACTTGATTATGTTGGCGCACTTCCCAATAGGAGTTACATTTTGAAATGTTTTGTAGGCAATTCTACCAGTCGAACTGCACCAGCAAAGTCCCACAAACAGCAATAATGTGTGATCAATGAATCTGTTTTTGGTGAATTTGGACGAGGGAAGACTATTAGGCAGGACGTTAAGCAAACTCCTTGATCCTCTTCAAGATAATGTGATTGGATATTTAACATCTAGCTGAACAGTCAGATGCCACCTTGGTTATAATGTATCATCTGGAAGACAATTACCACCTTTCAAAAGCAAGAGGGCCAGAAATAAATCATTTACATCTCCCTGGCCCAATGATTTAAATGTAAATATAAATGTGCCCAACTTCCATCACTTGCTCCCACACCCAACTGAGTTTCCACTTTTCCTCACAAGAACACAATGAACTTATTCAACAGCCAGTGGAGCAGCAAGTTACAGTCTGTGAGACGTCTGATCTTTCTTGGATCAGTTTTAAACTCCTAGCAGAAGTGATGAAGGTCTTCTCTTTTGATGGGACACTGAGCAATGTTAAAGCTGTGTGTTATTTCCTTTACAAAGCGTGGAATTGCTCCTATTAGTTTTCTGACGTGATATATCCAATCTTGTGTTGTAGTGCGTTCTTCATTGTTGACTCATGAATTCAGACCATTCATCGTTGTTACATGTGATGTATGTGAAGGATGCAAACAGACTGAAGGCAAATACTAGGGTAGGAGTGTTAATATTTCATCCCCACCCACCCCTGCAATTAGATATTTGCTCACTGATTTAAGTAGAATGTAATAGAATTCTACCTCCAATTTACTGCAAAACACGCAAATGATTCAATTGATTTTTAAATTAATTTGAGTAATAAGTGTACAAAGGATACTAGTGTGTGTAATACTGTGTGAGTTGCAAGCTTGGTCTGCTCATTTCCATGGTGTCCTGTGGCTGTTTTGCTTGTTTTACAATGTAATGAAATTAATAAATCCATTTTCTCCTGAGCTTGGTTTAATTTGTGCTCTCCAGTGCACGCAACCCACTCCTGTGGCTTTGTAATGCGTTAATAAAGATGCAGTTCTAATAAGGTGCAGCCGTGAGTCAACCTGCAATTGTCAGGTTAATAAAATTATTGTGACAAGTTTTGAGCACATACTCTGTAAGCGAGAAGGTCACTGAAGTGAAGTAGGACACATTGTTGCTGCTCTTTGCTTTGTGAATCTGCGGAGTTTTTGCTGTGGCATTGGGGTGCAATGAAGGACAAACTCACCCTGACAAGGTTGCTCAACAATCCAAACTCCAATAACTTGGACATTAACTTGCCAACACTGCAAAACTGAGAAAAGAGGTAATCAAGAAAAGTTGGAGCTAATTTAGCTCCACGATTGCTTGGCCCAAAGTGGTATTGATGCAGAAGCTGTTTGGAGCTTATTTACTGATCTGTCTATCAGAGTGTATTAGCGGCAATCTGCTGAGACGTTTTCTATTCTGTATTTAACTCCAGTAGAAAATGGTTTGACTTCCATTTCAGTTACTTCTCTTGACAACTTGAAATTGTAACTGCATTGTATATTTGTCCAACTGCCCTAACTCTCAGGAACTCCATCCCAGAGTCCCTCTGCATACCACCTCCCCAGCTTTCAAAACCCAAATTCAGACCCACCCTTTCGACCACGTTTTAGTCACCTTCCCTATCCTCACCCCAAATTGATTGTATACCCCACACCCTTTCATTCTTTTTCATTATTTGCCTTATTTCATCATAAAAACTTCCATGACTTCTGCTTCAACCAGTTGAATAGCATTCCATATCCTAATTACCTGTGATGTTTGTTACATTTATGTATCAATCGTATATTTGACTACAAATTACCGATGTGTATTCCCCAGTGAATCATTATTTCACATGTTCTTCAGAGTCGCTATTGCAAAATACTGCCATGCAAATGACCTACTGCTGAGAGCTTCAATATTGGACCCGTGTAAATAGTGTGAAGTGTGCTACAAATACAAGATCTCGTAGCTGCGTAGGTGAATGTTTAAGAATGTGTTATACTTGAAGGTGCTGTCACAAGGGATCGTGCCAGCTGTGTTATTAGGCTCCGACATTGCTTTGAGGTCATGGATTATCCTCACTATTTTATGGAGTCCTGTTCCTGCTATTTAAAGGGTGTTTGGCAATTATGGCCGGTCCATGTGATATTGATGGTCTGATTATGTGTGACTGCAGCTCATGTGGTGCATTGGTTTGACTGTCGGAGGTTTTGCAAATCTGTAGTTGTTTTGCAAATCTCATAATACATCTTTGACTGTAATTGTATCATGTTGGTCATACAATATTTCTTTGACTTGTTCATGTTACTCTGGTGGCTGTTTGTGTGGTGTTAACAGATATAATAACTGCACATCAAGTGTTTTCCTCATCGCTTTGTTTCGGACTTTGCCAACTTTTCGGATTTGCAATAACTGCAGCTGTTTTGCAATTCTCATAATGTCCAAAATGGGAAATCACAATTTCCTAATAGTGCAAATTAGTCATAATCCTTACTGCTACTGATAAACTTAATTTAGTGTTTAGTGTTTAATGACGCCTTCAAACTAATCCCCCACTGATGTTAGAACCAAGGATTTGAATAAAAGTATTAAACAAATAAAAACAGATGGAAATTAATCAGGATTTAAAAAAAACTCAACCCCAACCAACTCGCATCTAGGACATGTTTCTACATACCAAGCACCTCATGTCTCACAGATATATATGTATTTGGAACTTCTCATCTCACACAAAGATGATAACTACTCAGAAATAACTACAAGGGTCTCAGACACACATATGATAACTATACACTAAGCATTTTATGCCTTAGTCATTAACCAAATGCCTTGCATCTTACAGACAATGATAATCTTAGACTGCACAACACCTTGGTACGTCTGCCTGCATGAAAGATGCTATATAAATGTAAATCTGAATTGTATTATATGACACACTGGACACCTTGTGTCTGTCTTACAGCCAAGATAACCACTCAACAAATCCCTTATATCTCAGATACATCTACACAACATGTCTCACAACCATGCAAGATACTTAGCAAGTGCTTCAAAACTCCCAGACGTGGCATAGGAGAAATTACATGTCAAGTATCCCAAATCCTACTCTCTCACAGTGAGGAAAGGGGAATACTCCTGAAACAGAACTGTCTGAGATGGAGGGTAAGGGAAGATAGATATACACCACAATTGTCAAGGAAGACACTGGGAGATTAAATATTAACCATACAGAATGGCACTTGAGGAGAGAAAGAAGAGAGGAAATTGGAGACGGAAAAATAAATGGAAGCTTTATTTTAAAATAAAAATAAAATAAAAATCAATACAAACCCTTTACAAAAAGGTACAGTGACAGAGCTCCACAAGAGCACAAAAATTAAATGGGACATTTTCTATTATGTTGCACTAGCTGTTCTTTCCCAATAATGGCTGGTAAACTGTAGATCCTGTATCTTAGTGGTTAAAGCACTCGCCTTGCAAGTGAGAAGACCTAGTCAGGGTTCAATTCCTGGACAGGGCGAAACCTTAGGTAAGTTTCTTTACACTACACGCCTCTGTTTACTTCGTATTAAGTAGGAACCCATTTATTAGTCGATTGGCGGATCGCTTTCCAGGGGTGATAATCACTTCAAAAAATAATAGTAATAATTTGCCACTCAATCCATGACTGTTGGTGGAACACTGCTGTGCACAATTGGCTGCCGGGTTTCGCCCACAGAATATACCGTCAATTCACTTTACAGTATATTCTGTGAAGCACTTTGAGACATCTCGAAGACATGATAAGGTGCAATGTCAATTGCATGGATTATTAGCCCCATGACACACAATTCAGCATAATTTCAAAACATGAAGCCTGCCAAGGGGTCAAAAATACAGATTTACTATTTTCAGGATTCCTATCCACCCATGAGATCAGATGAAACGATGTACTACTGGTTAGCAGAAGGAGTAGCCATTGGTCGACCTTGGATTCCTTAGTAAGAAATA